GGTTCAGACTGGATCCAAGATTTTTATGCTGCCTAATCTGGTATAAGCTGCATGCAAGTGGGGCAGGAGCTAGGTAGAAATGCAATGCAACGTTTTAGTCCAATTAATCTGATTAAAAGGAATTACAGAAACACAGAGTCAAGTACCCAATCTCTTTGCCTGCCACGTGCCAATGATGAGAAAATTCTCTCCCAGGTTCACCAAATCTTTTAGGCCCTGGATCAGCGAGCAGTTTAAATAAGTGCCTTCAAGGAAGACCTTTTGAAGTCAGTGGGCTACTTGTGTTTACACACATGGCTGAATTAGGGCCTTACTCTCCACTTATTGATGCAAAGTCCTGTCAGCAAAACTTTGAGGCTCGGGGTCTTTTTTATTGCAGTTGTAATGCATTAGCAAGAGTCCACTCGATTTATGCATAATTACTGCAACTGCATGTTCAAATAAAACAATGGATTTCAAACTTGCCGACACAATGTGCGCTGACATTTCCCAGGCATTCAATTGTTCAAAATGTTATATATACACTGGTGTATTTAGGCACATATAAAAAGATTCAGAAATCTGCCTGCAAAATACAATTAAATGCTGTTAGCTGGTATTATGTAGAGGGATGAGATACAAACAATATTTACATAACTCTATAGCACTATAATGAGCTGTAAAAGATACCTTCAGAACGATATCTTCACAGTAAGTCACTTGGGCTCTTCATAAACACAATTGCTTGGGGACTAGAGCAGTAGACAGAAGGAATAAGCATCTTACACATTTAGGTTGCTAGCTCAGGTCTTGCCATTGGGAGTGAAGTACTGGCATCACCACATGGCCAATGCAAAAACCACACTTGTTTTTAATGCATTTCCTAGTGCATCCATGTAAATACCACAAATATACATCTCCCTTTGGGGAAGCGTCAGCAGAGAGGCGACGTGCTAAATGGGATATCAAATCCCACTTCTCTGGTAGGGTTTGCTTCCAAGGCTGGGTTTGAGGCACATTAGTACAGCAACGTGGAGACACTTAAGCTACTCCTGCCTGCGCTCCATGTGCTCTGGGACTAAATGAAGAACTTCAGTCACCATGGTTTCAATCTGGCACTAATCAATAGCACCGATCCAATCATCGCTCTGAAAGAACATTATCAAGACTCCTGCTGGAGAACAGCAAACGAGAATTGCTCCATTAAGTTGGCAAAACCACCACTGCTAGCACAAAGGACAAAGTCAGGCTTCCTCTGCACAGCTATATAATAGACAATAAGAGGTGTCACTGGGTTAACTCCAGTAACTGTAGCGCTGGCAGACTGGCAAATCTGAAGCAGCCACCTTTTGCCCTTTCAGTGAAATGCAGCTGCGTAAAGTGTGACAGCAGGTTTGCCGTCTCCCACGTATCCGAAGTACTCAGACGTGGCATTCACATGACCCACAAGACAGAAACAAATTAGAAATCCTATTAGATGTTTTTTCATCAGTGTCTTATGTAATCCAGCCAGTCACAAGAACTGCACAAAATGTATTGGCTAGAATAGCAAAAGTTATCGATGTATGTTGCGGTCAGTCATGAGAAGTAATACCCAAGCCTTCAGTCATACATACACTGGAGGCCGAGTGGTCCCACATAAAATGTTACCATTAGAATTACCTTTCCTCTAGTTCCCACTGTCTGCCCTAAAGAGTTTCTATAATGCCCCCATGTCATATTATCCCTATGACTTTTGTGTATTTTCACAGTCCCTGCTGCAATAATTTGTCCTGGTTCAGAGCCACCTTTAACCATTACTTGCTTCATATTTTCAATTCCCTTTTGGACACAACATGTACATCCAGTTGCAAGGGAAATGAGGGAGAAGGGCTTCATTGGTGTCACAAGAGAAGGTCTTCACAAAAGACCGGATTAGTTACTCAAGAGAGAACGAGTAACTCAACGAACTTGGGGGCAGGCAGGATGCCGTCTGAACAGGTGGGCACAAGCACGGGCAGCCAAGAGACTCAAAGCCTGGTGCCTGCAAGCAGGGTTTCCAATCGAAAGCACCAAAGCATCTGTCCACTCGGAGCTGATGCGCAGCATCTTCTTCAGTATCCTGTAACACAGTTCAACTGGCACTCATTTTTGCAGTTACACAAAGTGATGCCTGACCATTTTAGATGAAGGGAAGCAAGGTCAGGGTGGAGAGAGATCCACCCAAATGCAGTGATCACCCGTTAGGGCACTCTGCTGGAAGCCCCTTGGAAGAGAGCTAAAAAACCCCCCAAATTGCTGCAGATAAAACAGGTTCATCAAAATTTGTCCACATCACCTCACCCAATTCTGGCCATGCTTCGATGGCCATTCACGCAGCAAGGAAAAGGGGGAAGAGGAGACAGTGAGCGAGTGCTTTAGAAAAACGTGAACTGCGGAGCCTACAGCAACGGAGTACGATAGAACTGGTTATTTTCACTGTAAAAATATTGTCATGCTATGCCTCAACCTACAAAAATAGTTTAAACAGAGAACACACTAAACTGATTTTTATGGTGATTTATTTTTTTCTTCTCGTTCAACCCTGAAGCATGAAAATAATCAGATGCGATTATGCACCCTTCAACAAAAGTGCTGAAACAAAAACCCAAACAACCCCATACTATTAAAAAGAGTTCCACAGTAACTACCATGGCAGAATTATTATACATATATTAGTATAATATTGTATTATTCCACTTGCCTCAGTCATTAAGCTGAAGAAGACAAACTGGAAAAAGTTACCCTGGGTAAATTACTGAATCAGTGGAGAGTATGTGCTGCTTATTTGCATACTGTACTGAAGCCTTGTGTTTTGTTAGAAAAGAAACACTGCTTAAGCAAATATATGCAGGTTTCCTATCCTTTACTGCAGACTACCTTTCTCCAGCTGTTACACCGTTTTATGGGCATCTTTGCAGCTCAAGGAGCGCAGTGTTAATTTATGTCGTGCATCTTAGAGAGGTAGTGTTGCAGTTAGAAGTTTGCTCTGCGACTGCCATCTTGTGGCAACAAAAATATATCCTCCATGGTATTTGCTGCTCCAAAATGAACTGGTTTGGAAATGTGTGTGTTTTTTTTAACATTCTTTAAAGTAGGTGGAATAAATCCTGACTTTTTGCCATCACCGCAGGCTGTGGAACGAAACCATAGTGTCTGAACAACAGCTCCTTGAGCTGCTTGGCCTACATGGGACAATCAAAAGCTGAATGGCTCCCAGGTTAGTTCAGCTTATGACTGGTCCAAAACCAGGAGCGCCAGGAGCTACCCCCTCCAAGAATCTGCTTCTAGTTTCCAACAGATGAGCGGACCCATGCCCTCCCCCTCTTGGAGTTAGCACTATCTATCATGGTGTTAACCCAAGCTGCCATTCTTTTAACTTGTTTGCACCGCCCTAGATGAAAAGATCACGTGAACAAATTTCTAGATTCAATCACAACGTAATTGGACATTCGCTTACATCCTATGATCAAAATGCATTGGTCCAATACATTAAGTTTGGGTTTTTTTAAACTATCAAGCTATTATCCACCATAAGGTAGTAAGCCAGTCCCAGCCAGTTAAGTTATATTTAACAGGAAGCCATGAAGTCCATATTTATTTAAAAAAAAACAAGTTCTGGATAACTTGAAAACATTTAAAGCATTTTGTAGTAGAATTTAGACTAGAAGGAGGTGGGGAGGGCAGGGAATATCAAACCTCTTGACATATGGATAATACCCGAGTTAGTTGGTATTATAATCCTTCTTCTCCCCCATAGCAACAAACAATAATCCAGGCACATTATCAAAGTATTAAGATTCAGGCACTGGCCACCACTGGAAGCAGGTCACCAAAATCAGGGAAATGGGTAATCTGATCCAACCGAACAGCTCTGCTCATCTTACAAGCCACGTGCATCTTCTCTCGGGTATTGTTGGCATCTTGTTCAATCAAGATCCCCTAGTTTTGCATTTTCTCTACGGTCATCTAGCGTAGGCAGTGCTTCTGGCTGAGTATTGCCTCAGGACTTTTGCTTTAGAGCTTCACAAGATAGCATGTATATAGTGCCTCGCTGAAGTCAAGGTCAACATCGCCTCAAGTAGAGGAAAACTGCTGTTTGGCATCGCTACGCCCACCACTTTGTACTGTATGCATATCTGGAAGCAGTGTTGTACGTTAAGAAGCGTTGTGGACACGGTTGTGTCCAACCCTCTAAGACTTTAAAACCAGCAGATCTAGCCCTTAGGCCTTCTCTAATAAATTAGATTTCATCACTTATGGAGAAATGTGCGCATGTGCACCACTATTGCACATTACTTACAAACTGTGAGTAATATTTAGTTTCTGTTAATAACACGCTATTCCTGTACTTGTTTTTAGACACGATATACAATGTGGTTCCAATTTCAATTCACTTTTGTCTAAGTTAAATGAACATGGTTCAGAAGATGCTTGTTAGGCTTCGTATAGGGCTATGCTGCCACAGTCAAAAAGATACCTTCCACTGAAATTACTCTCATAGAACATTTTCGGATACTTCACATAATAAGACATGGCAAATGTGAAACCAAATGAGACTTTTCTGCTATGGTTATAAAATCTATCGTACAAAACATCATTTTTCCATGCCACCAACCGAGTATTTTGATCCCGGCTCACAGACTCATTGTGGAGTTTAGCGCATCTCCAACATGAAATATGAATACATTGTAATTCTGACAACCACAAAACCCAGAGGCAGAAGCTTGGAAAGGTTCCCAGTAAGAGCTACAAGGGAGAGAAATAGCCAGACTTTGTAATGCTCATTAAAAGAACAAAAGTAATTCAAAAGTTTGAAATTTCACCAACAGGTTTCAACAGAAAGGCAGCCTTAAGATTTCCTATATAGGAACTGAAAGGCAAAGGTTCGGAAATATAAAAAGAAAAAGCTCTTGTTCGGAAGGGGTCATATTACAGTTAAATGCAATTTGCCCCTTAGTAGTCCCTTCTGGATTTGCAGGAATATCAGTTATTGAACTCACCAAAGACTGATGTCCTCACTTATGCTGCTTTGGCGTTTCTGAAGAGGTCCTCCTTCCTTTGCCTGTAAAGTATATTAAAAGAGTGTTACAAAGATGCCCAATAAGTGCCCAGGGTGCCATGCAAAAATCAGTAATCAATCTAACAATTCAATAGACCGACAGGATAGATAAAGAGGTATCTGCTTCCACATCCTGTGAGAATAGACTGAGAGGCAGCAGTATTTAACCTCTATTTTACTCCAAGCACTATTTTCTAAGTGAAGGTTACTTGGCTTTGAAACATTTTTCCCTTTAGTCTGCCTGAACCCCTGCTTGGTGACCTTCAGGCATACTGAGACAGGCCCTCATTTCCTTCACAGTGTCTTCTTCTTACCCTCACATATCCCTTCTTTTGCTTTCCCTGGAAAGAACCAGGAAAACAAACATCTCTCAGCATATCTGAAGGCCAGCAAGCAAGGATTCTAGTAGATCAAGGGAAGAAAATGTTTCAAAACCATGTAACCCTCACTTTAACATCTGAAAAAGTAAGATGGTCATGCAGAAAGCTCATGCTTCTCTGAGCTAGTTTATAAGGTGCCACTCTGCCTTGCTTTCTTCAGAACATCCCGTCAGGGAACGTTCCCCAGGTATACCAGGACGGGGAACCCAATATATTCTTCAATAAGAAGACAATGCCACTGAAGTGCGACTTAAAAGCAAAACTAGAGGAAACCTTGAGGCTTTAACCTTTTAAGAGATGCGGGTTCTGCCTAAACCTGAATTTGTCCAGTGTTGCTAACTAAGTCTTCAAACCATCAAGGCAACTCGCTGACCATTACAGGTAGACTTGTCAAAGATGCTCAGTATTGCTCTCAGCTTCATTGTACCATTGGCTGCAATGTGAAGAGAGTTCCAGCAATAATGAGGGCTTTTGAAAAATTGCACCTATTATAGGGCTCATGTACATGCCACAATTTTTGCCCTTTCTTGCACTGCAACTGCATGTCTGTTTACATGAGCAAGGTTTCCCGATGCTTTAAACTATTTCTTGTGCATTAAACTAAAACTCCTTAGACATAGTTTAGTTTGGCTCACCAAGAATTAAAGCATTGCATCCATGGATTCATTGTGTACAAACATAAAGGCACTCAAAGACATGTAATGAGCCTTTTTGTCCACCATATGGTGCTGCGACTTTTTGTAGTTCACCCCTTTGAACTCTTTTGCTTTCGAATTACTTCTACTTTTTTTTTTCCTTGTGTGGTTGTTTCTTTCTTTTTTCCCCTTGTTTGCCAGCTCCCTGCTTCCACAGCTGCATGGCAGGGCATGGGCATGGGGTGGGGCCCAGGTCAGGGGGGCAGTGCTGGACCATCTCACTCTCCTGTGGCACCAGCCAGGGGCCCAGCTTAATTCATTTGAAAACCTAGTGTGTGTGTAAACACAGATGCGACGCTCCAAAGCTTAATTCATTTGAACACCTAGTGTGTGTAAACACAGATGCAATGCTCTAAAATAAAAAAAGTTTTAATTTTTTAAACCTATTTAATTTAAAGAGGATTCAAACCCGTGGTGTGTACAGACACCCATAGTCCACAAATTAGCTTTTGAAAATCCCAACATAAGTCAAAACTTGAGCAAAGTCTGCTGAGATCCAAGGTACATTTTTTCAAAAGCAACTGACTTAGGAGACCAAGTCAATGGGACTTAAACATTTTTGGAAAATTTTACCTACAGGGTTCAGAACTGCTTTCTGTATACAAACTTCAGTTAGGGACTAGACGAATGACACACTCACACTATTGTAAACAATGAGGAAAAACAATACAAACACTCAACCAGGGTAATCCCATACAGAAGCAAACCTGAAAGAATTAAGGGAAAGCCCCACAAATCTAGGTGACACCGGTTTGGGGTACAGTCTGTGCACGTCCATACTGGAGTGTCTCTTTGGTAAACAAGAAGCTACTGCATGCTTACTTGTCACCTAGAAATGACCACCACTTTGTGCAACTATCTCAGGTAGCTAAACATTTGTCCATTCTTCCTCAGGTATAATTTATCAATATACAACTAGTGTATGTATACCATCTGTCTATGCCTTTACTCCTACATTAATATGACTAGGACTGACAAAAAACTGCTCTCTCCAATGAATGGTCTGAACGTATAGAATTGAAAATGTTACTCAAAAAGCTGAAAGGAAACATACAAGTCATATATATGACATAGAAGTTAGTATTTTAAGAGTTACATTGAGAAAATACAACAGCTTATTTTAATAAAAGACTTGAAGCAATGCTTTAGAGAGACGGGTTTTCTTGTGCAAGTGGTAATTTTGCAAAAAAATAGGTCATTGAGGCAACACATTGATCATTCTGCCTTAAGCACAAGCAAAACAAAACAATTTACTACATTTAACTGTTCGGTGCTTTAGCATAAAACTTAAAACAATGGACAGAACTATGCAAAGCGCTAAAGCTACTGTGCACAGATTGTGACCCTGAGGACGCTTGCAGACATCAATAATTTTACTGAAACAGTCGCACCGAACTCACTGGATCCACTATATGCCATATACATGCATTTGCAGCATCAGACCCTGTATGTGTAAGCAGCACTAAACATAAGATGCAAAGTAGGTCAACCAGTCTTCTAGCACTACTAAATAAAATTCTAGGATGAAAAGTGAAATCTGCCACAACAAATTCAAAAGGGTCATTTCAGAACTGAACCTATCAAGTAGAAAGCCTTTTCCATGAATCACAAATCTATATCTTGAACTCCACCTTAAAATATAGTCCAGTAAATACATAATTCTCTAAGATCGTCCTATCTGTTCTAGCAGTGAATCAAGCATAAAAACAGAGGAAATGGGTTCCAGGCACAAGATATTCAGTATCTGAATTGTAAAATTCTAGCTTACAAAACAGTCACTCAAAGTTATATTTCCATTTCAAGTGGAAAGAAACAAGTAGTACCATTTGGTATGTTTATTTTTTAGGGGAAATCATCATGTATCTATCTCAAGTTGTATTGGGAAAGATTCATCTCCTCCTCTAGAGCAGTCATCCCATCCTCCAATGAGACAGTCAAAAGACTTCCTGCCAGCTCTCTAACCAATAAGGGCTCTGTCAAGTAGTGATCAGCTCCCCTTAAGTCTGTCCCATAACCAAATCAAATGACCCCTTTAAAGCCAAAGACTACATCCCTTTCCCTTCACATCTCATCCTCTGTACCCTTCTGTTCCAAGCAGCTGGAAGTACACTAGACATGACTCTAGATCAGGGGTCAGCAACCCCCGGCACACATGCTGAGCATGGCACATAAGGCTATTTTGCTCAGCACACCACCGCCAGCCCGGGCTCCAAGCAGCTGCTGCCAGCCACGGAGCTCAGGCTGCTCCCAGCAGGTGGCTGGGAGGCTGCAAGCCCTGCTGCAAGCAGACTGGGCTCCGTGGGCCTGCTGCAGCCAGGAAGCTGCAAACAGCTGCTCCGGGCTCTGTCATGTTAGCACTTGGGCACCTTCCAAGGTAGACGTTGTGGGGGGTTTTTGGCACTCTGGCCAAAAAACGTTGCCTACCCCTACTCTAGATCCTTCACTACCACTCCAAGATGGTAGACGATATTAAACCTTGAGATTCTTGCCTCCTCTCCATGTTTTGTATTTTTCCTTCTTGAAAAGGCAGAAGCTTGCAGCCTCAGAAAACTCCTCTGGTGTGTCTTATCTCCTTCAAACAGTATAACTATTTTAGAGTGCAAACAAGCATTTGTGGGACCTGGCTCAGCTTTAAGTGGCTTTGTTTAAGCCACTTAAACTAGACTTGGGATCGCTGTGTACAAGCATTTGCTGCTTGCTATGAGGCAGCATGGGCAGATGGACCTAAGTAAGCTGGGGAGCAGGGAGGGGATGGCAGGTCTGGGAGTGGACTGGTGGGTCTGCAGGGGGTGCTTCCCAGTCTAAGTAGGGGGTAAAAATAACCCAGTCTGGGTTCGGGGGTGAGGGGAGGTAAAAACAGCATAGCCCCAGGGCTGTGAAGAATGGCTAGGCTTTCCCTGTCCCAGGGCTGTGCTGTGAAAGCATGCAGGTATTCTCTAGGCTGGGTTAACCCCACCCCAAGCCAATCTAAAGTTAATTCTTGTCTGACAAGAACTAACTTTGCCCTAAAAATGGCATGCCTGATCTCATCTAAGTCCTGTAAATGCTTTCACACCTGGGTGTGTAGATCACAAAGTAAATGTAATGTTTGTATGTACCCTTAGTCTGCAGAGACTTGTCCTTTTAGATCATTGTTAACGCATGAACACAGTAGCATTGCATCAGGAATGAATTTGGCTACTTTTGAAAATCAAGGTCTGTTATAAAACTTTATTTAAAAGCATTTTGGAGCATGAAAGAAGGGACAGAACAGAAAAGCTTCTCTAGGAAAGTTTCCACATCCTACAGGAAAAGCAATTAGTGGCAGATTAGAATCTTAAAAGCCATTTGCTATTTTGTACCGTTCTGTTTGTGATTAGAAGAAATATTCTAGATGAATCACAATATACTAAAAAGTTGAAAATAAACTAGGATAATGGACCATCATGTTAGGTGCTGCACTAACTTCTGGAAAAACACGGTCCCTTGCCCCCAGGAGCTTATGGGTCAGATTTGATTTTTCTCTGCACTACAGAAAAAAAGCTTATCACCGCTATTAAGTCTTTTAGATATTCACTCCTGTGCATTGACTAAATTAAGGGGAAAAAAAGAAGAAAGGGCATCTTTGAACAGACACAACAAGATGGTCTTGTCTAAGAAATGAAGTTAAGTTTAATTTTAGTTTTTGTGTGGCCCTGGATAACAGGAAAGCAAACTAATTCCACTAATAATATTCATACTCTTGGAAAAGATACCCAGCAATTATATCCCAATCATTTAACAAAATATAGCAACACAGGGCTTGGGGAAAAAAGCAAAACAAAACAAAACATTATGATAGACCCATGCCGTGGTGAAGCAGCAGTGCAATTACAAGAGTACGCTGTGTCGAGTGGATTCCCCCTATATGAAATATGAACACGTTAGCCATTCAAGCAATAAGCATTTT